GCGTTACTCCCACCAACAAAACAAAGTAATCGATATGCGCGTTTACCCCGAAGGGATAACCGCCGCATCGATCTTTACGACGGGGAATAAAGTTTTATGAAGAACAGTCTCGAAGTCTCGGGCCTCTCTCCGTGCGGAACGCGCGACGTCGCTTTACGACGCATTTGAAACGCGATATTGAAGCCGGTGGTTAATAAACCCCACGAGCTCTCCCCACGTGTGCCTCGTACGAGCTGCACACGCTCATTATACCGGGATGTCCCGGAATTATCTCTCTTACCGCGGAATTCGCGTGTACTCTTGTATCGACGCGCTTCGCTCCAGCGGAGACGGGTAGAGGCGGGGAGTTTCACGCGTTGTTAAGAGTGTATTGCCCGTATTTTAGCAGTTTTGAAAAGACTGGAGATCAATTTGCATTGCACCGAAACGTGACCACAAACAATTTGACATTGATTCTGGATCAAAAGTTACTCCACTTTGAATCCAACAAACATGATGACATCAAATGGCGTTTCTAATGCCAATAATACGTCATTAATACGTCACTTGACGCCATCCTGGTACTTGAAGTATCTTAACCGTGCTGTTATAAAAATATATGTTGTTGCTATGTTTAACAAAAATATAATAACACAATTAACAAAAAACTCAATGTTTGTATACTTTAAGTACTCAAATTAGACATGCAAAGTTTCATGGTGGAATCAGAAAGATTAAAGTTTAAAGGTCAGAAGTAATATAACAAAACTATAAAAGTGTGATATCAAAGTAAAAACATGTTATTGAATTGTTTCGTATATATAAAAATATTCACCATACGTTTTTGTGCAGAAAATACAAATATTAACGTGTTTCTCTAATTTTCAACGACTTGTTGCAGGGACTATGTATGGCCAATACATTCTTAAAAGCGGGAGAAAACAAGTTCACACGATATTTCAAAAGAGCTGTGTACGGTCTCTTTTTATTGCGGCCGTTAACGCAATGTTGTCTCTCTCTCTCTCCTCCCCCCACTCGCTCTATTCCCATCTCTATGAATAGGTTTCTCCTGTTTTAAATATTTTACTTCGATTTCCATACAGAGGAGAAAACACAAAGAGTAAACGATGATACCTCGCACCGTCGAGAGTCCAAGCTCTCTCTCTCTCTCTCTCTCTCTCTCTCTCTACGATCGCGATTGATCGTGTTGTAAATGACGCGCGTTTGACCTACTTTACGCCTCTTAAAATGTGCAGCGAGTTGATTAACATTCAATTAATAAAGACAGCGAGAAAAGAGCCACGATGGTCTCGACGATCGACGCGACGCCGACGTCGGGCGCGATGCGCTCTCGCTCGCGGTTCACCGTCCGCAACTACTGCTTATTTATACGCGCACACGCTCGCTCGCTCGCGCCACCGCGATTTCTTTTTATCCGCTACATTCCTTCCAAGGCCCCGGCGGAGAACGGATCGGGCAACGGGCCGTCGTCATGGCCGTTCGTTCCTGCGCGTGTAGCACCGAGAACGCTTTCTACCTCTATCTCTTTCTCTCTCTTTCTCTCTCTCTCTCTCTCTCTCTCTCTCTCTCTCTCTCTCTCTCTCTCTTCTCC